TATTGAACCAAAGTGCTTTACAGTACAGAAATAAGATGGCTTTGTTACAAAAGGTCTCAAACCATGGTACTGTTTTGGTGCAAAAATAATGGCCCAACATCGGACACAAATTTCCCTCTCGTGGGTGAAAGTTCTGCGTCAGAGTCGTTCTTATGTTCCAACTCCCCCAGATGTGGACTTTGTGGCTCTTTGAAGCCATTTCCTACTGAGTCACGCTGTGACCTTTGCAGGAGACAAATGTTTCACAGAGTAATTGAGAATGCAGCTTAGTTGTGTAAGAAAGTACGTTTTGGGAGGCAAGCTTGACCCCAACCTTCTCTAATTGCCATTTTGTCGAGGCAACAACTACGACTGTGTAAGATGCCCCCCAAAAAATATTATTCTTAAAAAAAAAAAAAAAGAAAGAGAGAATGAGATCATCACACGTTCTGGCTTGAAAACAAAAACATTGTCAGACTCTATTTGGCAAGCGAGCAGCATATAAACACATTTTATTAGAGACGGTGTTCACACTGTACCCATCTGTCCGTCCACATTTGGAACTGCACAGAGGTGGAAATCACATCCTTTTTTATTTTTATTATTATTATTTAAAAAAGCGCCGTCGTTGTGTTTGTGCCGTGTTTTCGTGCACCATCTGTCAGTGTCGGCATCAGAGGCAGCAGAGCCCCATGTTGAGAGCAGATAGACGCTCCCTCTGTGACAAAGACTGGAACAAGAGCTCGTCACAGCGTGGTCACTCCGCTCGGCCTCCCGAGACAAAATTACTCACTGCCTGGAGAGCTGCATACGTGTACAGTACGACGCTGGTGACGACGAAAAGAGGTTTTAAAGTGAAGAAGTATCTCTGTCCCTGCACAGACACTGGTTCACTCCACTCAGTTAGGAGAATTTAATGGCCCTGATCCAGCCCATGTCTCCATTTTACCTGTTTTATGGTAAACAAATCCTGTCAGGATTTTGGAGGATTAGTGTCCACGTAATTCTTCGTCATCGAGCGTCCTCACTTAATCCGCTCAGTATTTGCATTCATTTAAAGCTTCTTTTTTTTTTTTTTTGCCAGTTTGGTGCTTTGAATTGTCCCTTTAAATACCTTCAGCTGCTTCCCGGTTATGAATCGCAGCTACAAAAGGATGTTTGAGAGAGAGAAAGTGGATAAAATGTATGTGTGAGCGAAGACAAAGCGAGAGGTGTTGTTTGACAGAAACAAACAATAAATCCAGGTGCTTATAGCTTGAAAAGTTTTGGCCATAAATTGCGGGGTCAGATCACAGGGACGTGCTTCGGCGACGGCAAAATCGATTTCATTTAGAAGTCATCAACTGCCGCCGCCGCCGCCAGTGCGACGGCAAATAACAAAGAAGCAGAAAGGAGGGCCGGTAACAGAGGAGAGCTTTGGGCCACTTTCTATTCCAGCTTGATTCAGGGACACAAAGCATTCAGTAGCACGAATGTTTAAGCCTTTTTCTTCTTCCCCCGATTAAGTTGTGCATATTGTGAAGGTCTCCGCAGGAAGCAAAGCACTTATATGACCAGCGACTGGAACCTAATTGTATTTTGTCACACTCAGCTCTGCGTACAAGTGAGGTTGGATAAATTACTGTTAAAGGAAGAAGGTGGGAAAAGGCGTCTCTGTGGTTTCCTGCTGTACAGCGGCGTTGTTGTGAAAAGTCTGATCTGTAGCCGAGACCTGACTGTGATTCTTGTGAAATTCAAGAGTTTTATTGGATTCTTGGCCGCCGGTCACCAAAAATATGGATGGATTGTTTCTGATGGTTTTCATATCCACTGTGTTGGAAAGGTG